GTGGGGTGGGGGCTGTTCTGAGCAGAGTGCCAAGGGTGTGTGGAGCCAGGGAAATGCAGACTCCTTTGGAGGCGAAAGACCCTGGCAAGGCTCAGCTGAGAGAAATGGGCTTACCCTTTGCCCCATGCTGCTCTCTGCTTGCATTCAAGTGGCCCAGGATCCCATTCACTCCTCACAGTGACTGAAGGGCCCCTCAGGTCCTGCTGAGCACGCATTGCTTCCGGGCTCTCTTGGGTAGAGAAGGGCAGGCAGGCCATCATCTTGGTCTGCATTTGGGGGTTATTTCTTTCTCTTTTGAAGTGTATAATGGTTTCTCATTTTCTCATGGACAGCTTGAAATATGTATAAAATCAGATGCCAGCTTTTATTCCCAATTTTAAGGCAAATCCAAAACGTTATTTTATCATAAATCTTTTGCAGCATATCCTTAGCAGAGGGGCGCTTGCCAAAGGCCAAGTTTGAGGGTGGCGCCCAGTCCCGGGCCCTCTCCAACCTCTACATAGTCAGGTTTGGTCCTGTGTGCAACTAGCCCATTCTTCCTGTTGCTGCCCCGTCCCTTCTCTCCTGCAGCCTGGGAGCTTTTGTCAGGACAGGGGCTGTGTTTGTTCTCTGTACCCTATGGCGTGGCCTGTACACACACGTACACCCACCCACACACACACATGCATGTGCTGCCACCCAGCCTCGGTTCCTGTGAGAACGAGGCCCCTGTGCAGGGTTGAGCATTGGATGTAATGTTCTGCCTTCCTCACAGGGTCCTGGGGGAGGCTGTCCTGCCCTTCCCACCTGGGCTGGCTGAAGTGACACTGGGCATTGGCCATGGCCGCAGAGTCATCCTGCGCAGCTACCAGGAAGAGGAGGCAGGTGAGGTAGCCAGACGTGGCCTGGGCTAGAGCAGAGCTAGGGTGGCAGAGGTGTAGGACCTAGGGCCCAGTTTCCCCTCTTCCTGTCCCTACAGACAGCACTGTCAAAGCCATGATGACTGAGATGAGCCTTGGGGAGGAGGACTTCCAGCAGTTGCAGGCCCAAGAAGGGGTGGCCATCACGTTCTGCCTCAAGGAATTTCGGGTGAGTTTCCCCCATGCACTTAACATCCTGTCTTTCCTGCCTAGTCAGGGCCTCACTGCCAGACCTCTTCTTCTAGGGGCTCCTAAACTTTGCAGAGTCAGCAAACCTGTCTCTCAGCATTCATTTTGATGCTCCAGGCAGGTAATCCCCAACCTCGGGATAGGGAGGGGAGGACTCTGAACATCAGCAGCTGAGTGATATGACCTAGCTTGGGGCTCCTGTTCCTACCCAGGCCAGCCATCTTCTCCATTGAGGACTCTCTGCTGGAGGGCCACTTTGTGTTGGCTACACTCTCAGAGACTGACCCACACTCCCAGGACCTGCGTTCTCCAGAAAGTCGCCAGCCAGTGCCTCAGCTCCAGGCTCATAGGTGAGGGTGCCCACCCACTCCTCTTTCTATCTCTGTGCACTCCAGCCTAAGGTTGCTTCATCCAGCTTCTACACCTCCCATCACACACACACACACACTCTCTCTCTCTCTCTCTCTCTCTCTCTCTCTCTCTCTCTCTCCCTCCTATCAGGCCTCCAGCCCTGGAGGCTCAGCTTCACTGTCAGCTGTGTTCAGACACTTCTCCCACCCAGGGAAACATTCCCGAGGTCCCACTGGCTTCTTTCGCTGGCTGAGGTCTCCCCTCTGAGCCTCTCTTAGGCCAAGGAGGGAGAGGGCTGCTGGGAGGCAGAGAACTGCCTGGGGTGGGGAAGCAGGTGGCTGGAAGGGCAGGTGGGTTGGGGAGGTTGGGCCCAGAGTATTTAAGCAGAGGAAGTTTGGTCTGGCCCCCTGCCCAGCATGTCCCTGGGCTCTAGTTCTCTCCAGCTTCTGTCCCGTGGGAAGGTGGGGGCTTGTTCCCCAAGTGGCCCAGTTTACAGGATTTGCTGCTCCCCTCCCTAGCTCAGTTAAACTAGTCCCCAGGAGGCTTTCCTTGGGCCTCTACCTGAACTCTGATCAAACAGATTCCAGGCCCACCCCCTCCAGGAAACTACCACTTAACTCCTGCATCCTCTCCTCTCCAGCCAAATCAGGAAATAATAAAACCAAGAAATCACCAGCAGTCATAGACCCCAAAGCCCCCTCTGAGCCCTCCAAGGTGGGGCCCTTCCTCTGTACCCAGTCTCTTCCTCCTGCACCTCACTGATACTCCATGTCTTCTTGTAGCACACCCCACCCAGATGACTTTGTCAGTGATGACATCGACTCCTACATGATTGCCATGGAAACCACTGTAGGCAGTGAAGGCTCACGGGCACTGCCCTCCATTTCCCTTCCATCTGGCCCCCGGTCTCCCCACAGCCCTGACGCCCCCTCAGAGGAAGATGAAGCTGAGCCCAGTACAGTGCCTGGGACTCCTCCACCCAAGAAGGTAGGGATTGGAGGTGGAGGCAGGGATGGGAGGTGAGGAAGGGAGCATTTTCCACAACTCACTCTGGCTTCCTGTTCTTTCCAGTTCCGTTCACTCTTCTTTGGCTCCATCCTGGCCCCCGTACACTCCCCCCAGGGCCCCAGCCCTGTGCTGGCTGAAGACAGTGAGGGTGAAGGTTGAACTGAGAACCCGAAGTCTGCATCTGGAAGCCCTGGATTCCGTGAAGCCCCAGCCCTTACGAAGGCTGGGTCTCAGCCCTGGGGTACTGTAGGTGGGCTGTGAGGAGCCTAGCTCCCACAGGCCCCCTCTGGCTGTCCACTGTAGAGCTGCCCATTGACTGTCTGGCCTGGGTTCTGCCATTTCCCCTCAAACGAATCATGTCTGTTCTTAGGCTTACTGAGCCACCGACCCTTTCAGGAGCTGCCTCACCTATTGTTTATTATAAAGCCTCTGGCCACACTCTAGCTGCGGACAGACCTAGATGCCTACCTTCCCCAGGCTCACTTCCTTAAGAAAAAACTCAGTGAGGCTGCTGACCCCTGCCAGTCCACTTTTTCTGCTAATCATGACCTGTTCCTCTGAAATCCTAGGCATACCTCTGAGACCCATGTGGCCAACACAGACTTTTTCTTGCTTTCCCAATACTCTTTGGACCTGGCTTGGAATTGTAAGAGCCTCTAGACCTGAGGGGGTGGCTGGGGTTGCCCTGGTGGGGCTCTGTGCCCAGTAATCTTGCCTCCCAAGCAGTTCTGCACAAGGACTGCCAGGCCCAGTGTTTGGGACAAGGGAAACAGAGGACATAGCTAGAATCCAGCTTTGACCTTTATTCAAGAGACCAGATGGGTTGCCCCAGGATCCAGCTGCCAGCCTTGAGGCCAAGCCAGGTTGGAGACCCACAGTCTGGCCTGCCGTTGCCCTGAGCTGCAGCCTCAGCCCCAGGATCCTGCTTGCAGCCACCACAGGTGCAGGCGGGAGGGAGCCCTGGGGGATTGGACGCTGCTGTTGATTTATTAAAAAAAAAAAAAAGAAAGAAAATACACCAAGGCTCCATGTTCCCTATGACCGGCCTGAGGGGCTGGTGTGACTCCCCCGCCTTGGCAGCATGATTTCTGTACAATCCATCATCTGGGACAGGGGGCTGACAAATGGGGTGCTATTTTTTGGCTTTGGCAGAGTTGCGGGGTGGGGTGATGGGTCGGCCTCCAGGGTTCAGGCCACTGAACTGCCCGTATTTCCCCTTGTTCTTGTCGGCGGGCTTGAGGATCTAAAAGAAACAAAGCCTATTAGGCTTATGGGCTGGGCCACAGGGTTCACTAGCCCCTTCTTTCCTGACACCCACCTGGAAGGAACACATGAGGGTCTCATCCACACTCATCATAGCGCCAGCATTGTCAAACTCGCCACAGTAGTTAGGAGCCGAGAAGAGTGTTACCAGCTGCCGCTTGGCAAAGAACTCATAGCCATCTTCCACCACCTGCGTGAGAATAGGAAGAGTCAGTTGCACAAATGGACTGCCCCTCCCATCCCTGCCCAAACCCAGAGCTGCCAGCCCACCTGGTGTGCGCGGCAGATGAGGTCCAAGTCATGCTTATGTAGGAACTTGGCCACCACCTCAGCTCCAAAGGTAAAGGAGACACCACGGTCATTCTCGCCCCAGCCCTGCACATCCTTGTCAGGGTCGGACCACAGCAGATCACAGAGCAGGCCCTGGTCAGGCACATCTGTGGGCCTCATGATACGTCGAATTTGCTCCATGGACTGCAGGTCTGGGGACAAGCCTGGGGAAACAGAAGACTGGTCACTTTCTCTGCCCTGAAAAGGAAGGGCCAGCAGGTGACATGGTGGTTCAAGACGCTGGATTCCCCATATGGCAGGCCGTGATTCAAGTCCCAGACCTGGTGGCTTGCTTTCTTGCTTTCCTTAGACACTCTCTGTCTGATCGAATTTTAAAAATAACATGGAATTAGATAGATAAATAATACATTAAAAAATTTTTTAGGGAATCAGCAGTTAGCATAATGGCTATGTCACTGGACTCCCACGTAGTCAACCACGGTTCACTTCCCAGACCTGGTGCCTTAAATCTCATAGCTGGGCGTGTGTGCTTGGGTGCCCAAGATCCCGAGAGGAGAATGAAGGAGAAGGGATTGTGGCGTGACCATCCCACCTGGGGGGTGATTTCTCGCTTTCTGTCTCTATGTCTCTCTCTGTCTGGCAAGCGCATGCGCCCTATAGCGAAAATCTCTCCAAAAAAAAAAAAATTTTTTTTTGAAAAAGACCTCTTCTTGGGCCAGCAGGTGTTGTGGGGATTAAGGCAGCTGGATCCCACATAACCAATTAGCGGTTCAAATCTTGGACCTCGCAGCTTAGAAAAAACACTAGGCGCAAGTGTGTGTGTGTGTGTGTCCAAAATCCCAAGAGGAGAAGGGAATGCAACATGGGCATCACTCTGGGGGGTGCGGGTTTCTCATTTCTCTCCTTTGTCCAGCGAGTGCACTGATATAGCAAAGACAAGACTAAATAAATATGCCTCCTCCAGGAAACCTTTGCCAAACCTCACCTTTCCCACCACTACTCTGCCCCTATCCTGGACTCCTGGGAACATCTTCCCTGAACGTAAGCAAGAGAAATGCAGAACTTCCTAGAGGAAGGAGATAAGTAAATCCCATGCGAGACGTCCTGAGTGCCATAACAAGGAAGTGAATGTAACCAAGCACAGTGAGATACAGGGTGACACTTCCTGGAAGAAGTGACATTGGAGATGAGACCCAGCAAAAAGCTATTTCAGGGGGCTGGGAACATGTCCTTCAGCCAACAGCTTGGTCCCAAGGCACCTGGGGACATGGCCAGGGCCGCTCCTTCCCAGGCAGTACCTCAGCAAGTGCACTACTAGAGCCACCCTCACCTCCGTGGCAGCAAAAGATCTTTTCGTCCACAATGGCCGCAATGGGCAGGCAGTTGAAACAGTCGGTGAAGGTTTTCCAGAGTTTGATGTTGTAGCGTCTCTTGCCTGCCCAGAGGAAAGAGATGGTTCATAGAGAAGCCTGCCCACCCAACCCTCAGCCAGTATCTCTGGGCCCTCCAGGACATGCTGTGGGCTATGTACACAGAGCTGGACAAGAGTGAAAGGCAAGGAGGGCTCAAACTGCCCCCAACACACTAGCCTTTCGGGAGTAATTAGCTATTTGAGTCCACAGGAACCTGAGTTCTAATCGGAACCAACCTCAGCCTTGGCACCCATCCTTACACTATGAGCAGAGCCAGGACAACACTGGATCTGGTTTATTTCAGCTCTGGCCAGCACAGTACAGTCCACACAGGCATTCTAAGTACTTAAGTAACCCATGTATTAGAGGGGAGTGTCACTAGGCAAGAACCCAGGGAAAAGTACTAGAATATAGGCAGCCCTTCCCCAGACCCCTGCAGTGAGGGCAGAGCAGACAGACATGAATGGGCCCATGCTCTGCTTTTGAGGAGCTCAATCGAGCAGGGGTCTGTCAGATACTGATCTCACTGCTGTCAGGCCAGGGTGAGGGTCCTAGCAAACAGCAGGGAGTGCAGCTCAGAATTCTGGCAGCCCATGGGAACCAGCAGTTAGCGTAATGGCTATGTCACTGGACTCCCACGTAGTCGACCGCAGTTCGCGTCCTGGACCCGGTGGCTTAAAACTCACGCCAGGCGCGTGTGTGTGCGTGCCCAAGATCTCCTGAGAGGTAAAGAGGAGAAGGGCTTGCAGCGTGACCATCCCCCCTGGGGGGTGATTTCTCGCTTTCTGCCTCTATGTCTGTCTGTCTGGCGAGTGCATGTGCCTTATAGCGAAAAACCTCTCAAAAAAGAATTCTGGCAGCCCTTGGACGCTCAGACCACTCACACTCATCGTAGAAACCATAGATGCGGTTGATGCTGGCACACTCATGGTTCCCACGGAGCAAGAAGAAATTCTCTGGGTACTTGATCTTATAGGCCAGCAGCAGGCAGATGGTCTCCAAAGACTGCTTGCCCCGGTCCACATAGTCCCCCAGGAAGAGGTAGTTGCTTTCCGGAGGGAAGCCACCATACTCGAACAACCGCAGAAGGTCATAGTACTGGCCATGGATGTCACCTGTGACCAGGGAACCAGGTAAGCTAGGTGCAGGGTCTAGACTTGAATCCAGGAATGGGCTCAAGGGAGGAGGGATCCATGAACCTTGGAAGGATCAAAGCCCCTTCAGAAGCCAAAGGGGAAGGGGCTCACCGCAGATCTTGAGGGGTGCCTCCAGCTCCAGAAGAATGGGCTGGCTCAGGAAAATCTCCCGGGATTTGAGGCACAGACCACGGATCTCATTTTCTGTCAGCTGTACATTCTTTCCAGGCCGTGAGCCCTGCACTGGAAGCGGAACTGGGAGTCAGGACCCTGGCCCCTCAGACAGGAGGAGGGTGGGCACATCTGGGGGCGCTTGGGCCTCCTGGGCTCCTCCGTGCCCAGGACAGCTGTTGCGGCTGAGCTTCCAGGGACCTCTGCCTCAAGCCCCCCAAGGCAAGCCCTCAAGGCTCTCGAGAACCGACTGCCGGGTGCAAGGGCCTGACCTCCCAGCTTCGCAGGCTTCCCTCTCACCCCCAAGAGTCCAGGCCAACCCGTGCGTCGTCGGCCCCGGAGAGGGGAGCTGCTCCGAGTGCCGGAGCGGGCCCCAGACCTCTCGGTCGAGCCCGCGAGGCTAAGGGGGGGGCGGCTGTGGCCTCGGGACCTCGCGGCCCGTCCCCGCCCAGTCTAAACTGGCCCCAGGAGTAGGCCCGCCCGCGCGCCACTTCCGGGCCGGGCAGGGGGCCAGGGCGCGGCGG